GCTCCGAGATGCTGGTGATTCACTGGGAACAGAGAGCCTCAGCCCAGCTCTTCCGGGAGGAGTGTCGGAGGCCACCCAACCCACCATGAGAGGAGGAGCAGGGGAGCCCATGCTCTCCAGGCTTTGAGTAGAAATCCAGGTCTGAGGCTCCACTTTGTGGAGAACCCGGGAGAGAAGTCGGGACACTCCCAATTCTCTCTCTCCAAACTACCAGATCCCCAGGGCAAAGGCTCAAGGCTAAGGCCAAAACCTGAAGCATCGGTTGTGACACAGCTGGTGGCCCCCTGGGGGCTCAAGCAGCCCCGGGCACTGTGCCCTGCGGATGGAAGGGACAGCCTCCAGAGCCCAGCCTTTGGCTGCCTCGGTCCAATTCCCCGCTCCACTTTGGCGAAGGAGACACAGAGGGGAGTTTCTTATTGAGATCTAGTAAGACTGCAGGAGAGCCAACCAGTCCATCCTAAAGGAGATCAGTCCTGAATATTCATCAGAAGGACTGATGTTGAAGCTGAAACTCCAATACTTTCGCCACGTGATGCAAAGAGCTGACTCATCTGAAAGACCCTGATGCTGGGGAAGATTGAAGACGGGAAGAGAAAGGGATGACCGAGGATGAGATGGTGGGATGGCATCACCAACTCAATGAACATGAGTTTGAGTAGGCCCCAGGAGTTGGTCATGGACATGGAGGCCTGGTGTGCTGTGGTCCATGGGGTCACAAAGAGTTGGACATGACTGAGCAACTGAAATGAACTGAACTGAACCAAAGAGCCTTGGTTGGGGGCTCAGAGCAGCATTCTAAGAGGCCCCCAGAGAACTGATGATGGAGCAATGGTGCCTCACCCGCCAGGCACCGATCTGCCAGGACTGCTCCGACTCCTGGGTCCTCTCTTCAAAGTCATGGAGCACGCCCAGCACCGTCTTCACCTGGCCCCGGGCACACAGGCCAAAGCACAGGATCACACCCTGCGGGGAGATCCAGTGGGCAGGGTGAGAGGGTGGGGCGGGGGACACCCCATCTGTCCCCCCGGCACACACACACACACAGATAAACAGACACGCACGTGCACAGATAAACACAATGCCCGCACACAGGCACAGGCGTGCACACACCACGTCCTCCCGAGGCCCGGGGGACCACGGGCACCTCACCTCCAGGTCGAAGTCGTCGCTGTGGTCCGTCTTGTAGAGCCACTCCAGCAGCAGCACCTCCACCTTGCCGGCCTCCAGGCCCGTGGCCGGGGGGAAGCCCAAGGCCCGGTACAGAAAGCCCTGGAGAGGCGGGAGGGACGGAGGGCGCTTCAAGCCTCCCGCCCGGGCCTCTGGGGCCACTGCCAAGGGTGGGTCCCTACTCGTTCCTCCAGACTTAAAAGTATGCCTTTTGGATATTTTCAAAATCAAGTATCCAGGCTACTCTGAGAGGTTAGCCTGTAGCAGGGCCTGCATGTTACCAAGAGTGGGGGCCAAGTTTCTCTCCTACATAAATGGAATCATTCTACACTCCCACCAACAAACCTAGGAGCACTTATGTTCCTGCCTTCTCTCTGGCTTAGGATATTATCCGCGAGAGGCAGAATGTTTGCATCTTGGTTAGTCATCTTTGCATCTTCTCATGGCCCAATCTTGGAATTTCTGCCTCAATTCTTTCCCCATTGTTGGATTATGTCTCTTATTTTTTGTTTACAAGAACTTTGTGTGTACATTTGGGAAAAAATAACGAGAACAGACATACATTATCTCATTTAATCTGCACAACTACTCTGAAAGGCAAACATTAGCAGGAAGTAGTAGAACCAGGCTTTAAAATCAAGCAGTCAAAAAATAAATAAATAAATAAAATCAAGCAGTCAAAACGCCAACACATAATACAGAAACAATACCATCACAAATTCAAAAAAGACTTCTGAAAAATGGTCCACATAAAAACAAATCTTAAAGAAGGAAAGAATAAAACCAAGCATAGCCTGAAGCTCACTTCTTAAGTGATCACTCCTGTGGTCCATTTCCACAGTGTCTCATTTCTCTTTTGATTTTATTCACAGTGATTTCATTTGGTCAAGCAGACAATTTTCATTTTTGAGTACAGTCTCTTTCTTTTCCTTTGTCTTTCTGAAAGATTCTTTTTATGCATATGAAGGTCTATTCTATTCCATGTTAAGACTATAAAAATAGTCATCAGTACATTCTTCCTGTCACTCCATGGTTGTATTTCATTTCATGCACTTACATCTTTGTTCTGAGAGAACAAATCCTTCTCTAATGAGCTTTGTTAAAGATATGCTCTTAGCTATTATTCTCTTACATTTTTTTAATTAGGGCAAACGTGGAAATAATCTTGTCAAATAAAACTGTCAGACTTCCACAAATTTCCCTTTTGGGAAATTAGAAGTAAATTGCATTGCAGATATTTTTTGTTGGTTTTTGGCCGCATCACTTGCTGTGCAAGATCTTCGTTCCCTGATGAGAGATCAAACCCTTCCCCACTGCAGTGGAAGCACGGAGTCCTAACCAGTGGACCACCAGGGAAGTCCCTGACTTGCAGATTAACTTGAGAAAAAAAGGACACCTGAGCAACACTGAGACTTCCTATCCAAGAAGCAGAGATTGTGTGTGTTTGGTCAGGCTTTCTTTCAGCCTTTCTGCCGCTTCTTGTAATTTGGGGTTCTTCACCTTGGTTCCACATATTTCATATATTCACTATTTTTATTTGGTTACATATTCTACATTGTGTTGCTGCTTTGAATAGAGACTCTTTTCATTATGTCATATTTTTGTTTTGTTTATGGGAGAGATTATGGTTTTGCCTGTTACATTTGGGGAAAGAATGACTCTATCGACCGGAATTGCAAATCTGGAGGCTTCAGCAGCCTTGCGCCAACCCCTCCCCCGCCAGAGGCTTCTTGTCTGAGTGATGAACAGTCTGGGAGAGTCCTGATGAAATTCCTTAAGCCATTGTATCCAGTTGTGACTTTTTAAGGTATCTGAGCCAATGAAACCCTATTGATTTGTTTACGTTCCTTTAAGCTAGGTGAGTTATTGTAATAAGGTTGAATTACATGCATGGCTTATTAAATACTACACACATGTTTCTTTCAAATAGGCATCTGGCCCTGAACTGGTATCTGATAAGATCTCACACCCACAAATCTATAGCATTTAGCTACAGAAGATATACATTGCTGTGTATATTTTACATTTGCTATTATGAAGGGTGCATATTTGAACAAATGAAAACTTTAGTTGACTTCTCTAAAAATTCTTTTTAAACATCTTTATTGAAGTATAATTGACATACCGCTGAATGAGCCCGTTTAAGGTTTAAAGATTTTAAGTTCACACATTTACCAAGTTGTGTGATAGCCATCACAGCCAAGGTTAGGACATTTGCATCACCCCGAAAAAGAAATTCTGTACGCACTGGCAATCACCCCACATTCCCCTCATCCATGACAACCACCCATCTAATTTTCTGCCTCATTAGATTTGCCTTTTCTGGATATTTCAAGCAAGTGGAACCACATCATACACAGTCCTCTGCATCTGGCTTCTTGCACTTACTGTAATGTTTTCAAGGATCATCCTTACTGTAGCAGATGCAAGCACTTGATTCCTTTTCATGGTTGAATACTACTCTGTTGTATGGATATAGCACATTTTGTTTATTGATTCATCCACTGACGAACACTTGAGTCTTTTCTACTATTGGCTATTTGAATGATGTTGCTCTGAATATTTACATACAAGCTCTTGCGTGGACAAATGCTTTCATTTCTTCTGGGCATATATAATTAAGAGCATAGTTGCTAAGTCATAGATAGTTCCATATTTAACATTTCAAGGAAATGCGAAACTGTTTTTCAAAAACACTGTACCATTTTGTATTTATACCGGCAATATATTAGAGTCCCAATTTTTCCGTACCCTTGTCAGTGCTTGTCATCATCTGTCTCTCTGGTTACAGACACCCTGCGAGTGTGGAGCGACGCCTGCGGTTCTGATTTGCATTTCCTTAGTGGCAATGGTCTTGAGAATCTTTCCGTGTGATTACTTGCCATTTGTATATCTTTCCTTTGCCCATTATTAAATTGGCTTATTTGTCATTATATTATTGAGTTATAAGAGTTCTTTATATATTCTAGATACAAGTACCTACTCAGGGACTAGATTTGCAAATATTTTCTCTCATTTGGTGGGTTGATTTTTCACTTTCTTGACGGTATCATTTTCAGCACAGAAATTTTTAGATTTGATGATGTTCAATTTATCTATTTTTTCTTGCATCACTTGTGCTTTTGGGTGTTATTTCTCAGATGACTTTGCTCAGGCCAAGATCAAGAAGATTTATATTTATGTTTCACTCTTAGAATTTTATAGTTCTACCTTTTATATTTACACATATGGTCCATTTTTGAGTTCATTTTTGTGTGCGGAATGAGGAAGGGACCCAACTTCATCGTTTTGTAAGTGGCTATGCAAGGCTTCCCAGCATCATTTGTTGAAAAGACTACTCCTTCCCCACTGAATTGTCTTGGTACTCTTGTTGAAAATCAATTGACAGTAAATGGGAGGTCTATTTCCAGATCCTCAATTCTATTCCATCAATCTATTATCTATCCTGATGCCAGTATCACCCTGTCTTGTTTACTGTAATTATGCAAGAAGTCTTGAAATGCAAAATCTGAGTCTTCCAACTTTGTTCGTTTTTAAATCATAACTGTGTTGGCTATTCCGGACCCCTTATAATTCCACAGGAACTTTAGTTTCACGTTGTCAGTCTCTGGGGGTGGGGGTGGGAAGCCAGCTGGGATTATAGTGGGGGTCGTGTTGAATATATAGATAAATTGGCAAGTGTCACCATCTTAAATATAGTGTCCTCTAATCTGTGTACATGAAATGCTTTCCATTGGTCGAGACCCTCTCTGATTTTCAACAATGTTTATAGTTTTGTAAAGACCCCTCAACGATGAAATATACACATTCAGTGGTCATGAGCCAACAGCTGGATGAGACAGGGAGGAGAAACTAGTGTGTGGGGAGGGATGGGGGCGGGTGTGCAGCATGGTTTGATAGAAGGTGTTCTGTCTTCTACCCCCGTCTGCCAAAGGTGGAGGTCCACCACCAAGTGCCTGCTCCATTTCCCCCTCCAGGCCTTATCTTCCCCTTTGGCATCCTGTGGTATGGTGCAACATTCACCCTTTTCACCAAAACACGTTCAGATCTCATTCCTTGCCATGGACTCTGCTAGGGATGACACTGCAGGTGGGGCTGAGGTGAGAGGAATGAGGAAGCTGGTGACTGGAGGGGAGTTGCCCCCCAGCTCCAACCAAGCAGGTTCTTGAGGGAAAAACAAGACAGGAAAAAACACTGCAGCCCTCGGGTCTGGACCAGCCAGCCGTCTCCCCTCCCAGGGCGCTGTGGGCAGCCTCAGGCCTACCTGGCCTCACGCGGGCTGTCCCCGGAGTCCCCTCCCTGTCTGAACGGCCCTGCCTCTGGGAACCAACCTTCGCCAGGGAGGGGCTGTCGAAGCTCTCGATCTGATGTTCAGCTCTTTGCTCAGATGCAGGCTCCAGTGGGAACCCCGAGTCACCTTGAGGGAGTTTCTCAGAAACTGGGGGTGGGGGGAAGAAGGCACAGGTGGGCAGTGCTCCAGAGGGCTGTGCTCCTCGAGCCGTGACTCTCCCTCTCCAGCGGCTTCCCTGGTCTCTAGAGGGCTTTGCCCTTTCAGCCCCGACCCAGCCCTAGTGCTGTGCAGGCTTGGGGGCTGCCGGGAGGGGTCACCCTGTGCTGCCTCCGGGGCTTGGGCTTCCAGGGTGGGGTCTCATGCTGTAGCTGCTTGTGCTCCCCAAGTCTTGTGACAGGAGGGGAACGTGTCCCCTAGGGGCTCCTGAACTCCCCACACGCCAAACCCACAGAGCTGCCCCCACCGCCCCCCACCCCGGCCTCAGGCGGCGGGATCACCTCTACCTGAATCAGCCTGTCCTCCCACGTCTTCTGGTTCCAGGTAAACTTGGTGTGTTCTGCAGAGAGAAGGGCGACCTGTGCTCCTCCATGCCGCCTCCTAAATGCAGCATCTGGGGTCCTCCGTGGATGGGCTCCCCACAGCCCCACGTCCCTCCCCACCCTCCCAAGGAGCAGAGTAGGCTGTGCCGGCCACCTGGAGCCTGGGCACCTTTGCTCAGGCCACGTTACAGGCACTCGGCATGTACAGTGATGTGAGGTGGCTCACACACCCCGGGCTCCTTTGCTCAGACGAGGTGGTGAGTACCTGGCATGTACACTAGGGGTGTGTGGGGGGATCACACATGCACTCGGGCTCCTTTGCTCAGCCACAGGTCTAGCACCCGGCGGGTACACTTAGGGGGTGGCTCACACATGCACCCGGGGCATCTCACCTTCCAGGTACTTGACCAGCAGCGGGATCCTCAGCTCCCACATGTCGGCCGTGGAGGGGGGCGAGGCTCTGGCTCAGGGTCTTCAGAAGGTTGAGCATGGCGATTCCGCAGCCCTCCCCCTTGGAGGGGGATGACATCAGTACCTGGGGACACCGAGACTCCAGTGGGGCCCCTCCCTGGCTGGGTAGCCCCAGGCCCCGCACGCCCCAACCTGGGGCCTCGCTGTCCGAGCCCATAAAGGGAGAGTTGGACAGGATGGGGCCTTTCAAGCAGAGCTCCGAGGATTCCCAGGATCAGAGCATCCCTGCAGCGGATGCTGAAGGCAGGAAAGGAGACACGAGAGCATGGACTCCCTCCTCACCCCGGGTTCCATGGAGCTCGGAGCAGGGTCAACACAAGGAGGAGGATGCATGGTGCAGGGCGGAGCTGACCCCCCAGGGAAGGGCAGACTGCTGACAGAGTCCTGCGGATGCTTGGGGCCATTCAAAGGCCCAGCAGAGCAATCTGGGAGCCTGCTGCCCTTGCCGTATCTCCCCAGAGGGATGACGGGTGCCTGGAAAGCTCTGTCCTGCCAAGCATCCAGCTCCCTGCTCCCCCTGGAGGCCCCGGGGATTAGGAGCTCATGGGAGGGGCACTACAGGACACAGTGGGGGCCAGGCCAGTGCATGGCTCCGTGAGCCTCTCACCAGGAGTCAGGCCAGCAGCTTCTGTGGTGCGGGCAGATCCACTGGGGAGAGAAAGATACAGGACACTGAGGCTGTCCCGCTCCCGTACACCAGGGGAGCTTCCCCTGCATGGTGTTGCCCCAAGAGCATCCCAGCACCCCCCAGAATGCAGGAGGGATCAGGACGGGGGATTTTCCACAAAGAACATCACTACAACTGGCCATCCCAGTTCATTTGAGTCCACCCAAACCATGGCTCTCGGGGCTTGGAGACCACTCTGGGCTTGGAGCCACTTCAGTCAGGCAGAGATCTTGCAGAAGACAAAGGCCGATGGGATCAGCAAACTCTCGTTCTGAAGCAGCAAACAGGTCACTGCTGCCCCTGGTTTCACTGTGTGCCAGGCTGCTGAGGCGTGGAGAGGGGCAGGGCTGCAGGCCCATCCCAAGCCCAAGTCCTCCCTTTATGCAAATTAAAAGGCAACCGTGGTGGCACGACTTTGTCCTCAGCAGAGGTCCTGGCTCACCCTCCCCATCTTTCCCTAGTACAGTATGTGCACAAATGGCTAACTCAACTAAGGGCAGGGCTTTCCTGGGATATTGCTCATTTGGGGAGGCGGCAGCAAATGGAGGTGGGGAACGAGGTCAGGTCAGAATCACCTAGCATAATATATGTAACATAAGAGGTGCCCATCAATTTAGTTGCTTCTTAAGTCTGTGAGAAAGAAGTAAGGAGGTGTTATGAACTAGAGGACCGAATCAGTTCATGATTCTTGGCTTCACAAGAAGACACATTCAGAATGAGGGCTGGTTTTATTTTCCAACAGAATCTTCTTTAATATAAAACAAAGATAAAACACATCTCAACCCTGCAATCTGCCAGCATGCCTTGTTTCTACAAGACGCATGCTAGTCCGTTAAGACTAAGTAGCAAAGAGTCTTTAGGAGCATTTGATTGGGAGAAATAGAAAAAGCAGATCTTAGGGAAACCTGGGCAAGGCCCACAGCTGAGACACATCCCCAAACACTAGAGCAGTCCTTGTCTTTTCAGATCCTCGTATGTCTTCTTATTCACAACATTCCCACTGGAGTCTTCATACTCTTCCTAAAAGGGAAGAAGGACGCCATTAAGCACAACTCCTGGGAGAAATATTCAGACCAGCCTCTGGGTACCTGAGCTCAGCCTGCCTGATTCCACGCCATTCATCCGAAACAGCCTTTCCAACCTGGGGTTCTGCTCTACTGCCCACGGCATCCATTGGACATCTAGAATGGTGCCAATTATGACCGATCCTTGGGGATATCTGAGAAAATTGTGTATTCAAATCACCTTCTGTGTGTAAGATGAGGAACTCTGGCTGAGAAAGGCTCATTTAAGACATGGTTTTCAAATGGGTCCCAAGAACCCTACGTTTCTGCCTAAGAGGCCACTACAGTTGATAAAGGCCAAGAGGACTGAGCTTCTCCACATCCAGGAGTTCTGCTTTTTTCTACTGAGAAGGGCTATGCTGCTAAAAAAAAAGGAACACTGAACGCCACTGACCTGAGGAAGCAGCTACCATATCTCACATACATACCACTCCTCATCTCTGAAATCTGCTGCTAGGGATGACCATCCTAAGGCCAACAAGACGCCTCCCCACACCATGAGCAATCTCATCAGATGCTCTCCTCAAAGGAGATCTAACATATGACACAGATTTTCAACCTCTTAGCTTATGAATCCTGAGGGAGGACAAGACATAGGGTACTCCTGCTTGCCACTTCAAAATTTCAATGGGAGAATATAACCTGTCTTAAGACACAGATTTGAAGTCTGACACATGTAATATCACAAATAAATTAGGCTTACAAGTCAAGAGCCGATTAGAGATATTGTCACACTACACTTCCTGCTACAGTGAACCAGGGGCCGTCTCTCACTCCCTTCTGCACCATGAGGGACTCTGTGGCTTGACGTTACACCCAATGCTATATAAGCACTCACCTCAGTGTCAGGCTGCCATCGTTCCGACGCCTTCTGGAGTTTCAGCTTGGCCCACACTGCAGGATGAGAAATGATCAGCAATCAGATTCCACTGAGTATCCACTGGGTACAGGGTGTTACAACACATCCCTCATTAGGATCCCCGAGTGACTGTCCTCAAGACATCTGCCTACCCCAAATGGCAATTTTGGTTCTGGACTGCCTGTGGACAAACCTCTTTCATTGCAAAATTTACCAAAATGTTTGCTTTGTTGTAAAATAAAAGTTGGATCATATATAACCAAACACTTCTTAGAATTGAGAACTGATACTCTCAAAGTTAGTATGGTACAAAATATAGGAATTACTGGAAAAAGTGACCTTACTGTTTTAAAGTTCATAATAGAAGAGAAAGAGAATGCTGTGCTTAGTCACTCAGTCATGTCTGACTCCATGGACTGTAGCCCACCAGGCTCCTCTATCTATGAGGATTTTCCAGGCAAGAATAATGGAGTGGGTTGTCATGCCCTCCTCCAGGGAAATCTCTCCTACCAGGAATCAAATCCAGGTCTCTCACATTGCAGGTGGATTCTTTACCATCTGAGCTACCAGGGAAACTCAACAATACTTGAGTGGGTGGCCTATCCCTTTTCCAGGGGAATCTTCCCAATCCAGGAATCGAACCAGGGTTTCCTGCATTGAAGGCATATTCTTTACCAGCTGAGTTATCAGGGAAGGTCCAAGAGAACACTAGACATTGTCAAATATGTCTACTTGGGGTCTGATGCATGTATTTCAAAAAATTCAGAGGAAAAAAAAAAACACTGAAATATCATGGCCAAAGAGTCTGAAAGATAAGATGGCTCAATAAACACTGAAGACATTAGAAAAATAATTCTGACAGTTCAAGTCTATTGACCACGAAGACAGAAAGAAATCTACAGACACTACCATAGCTCCAGAAGAAAGGATCAGACATGTGCAAAGATAGGACAGACACAAAACTAGGGAAAGAACAACTTAAACTTGTAAGAATGTTGTTGAGAAGGTGCACCCTTAGAACAAAGGGCTATGTATGACAGATGGAACAGGTCGCTGCTACGAAGGTAAGATTACAGTGAAACGGAACAACCACTTGAGTCTTATAAGCTTTCCCATTTCTCATCAAGTAGAACAATCTCTAAATGTGACAAGATTAGAAGAAATATCATAGAGAAAGCTGAAGTCTAAGATGGGTAAAGAAATATAAATAGTAAATCAGACAATATATAAGTGCTTAACTCTGTGCCTGGTGTACAGGCACTCAACTAATCATCTTTT